GCTATCTTGTAAGACACCTTCCAGGCCCCTCTGCTTGAAATTCTTGCCTGTTCTTTTCTGCAATTTCCTTTAATCCTGTGGCTCATCCTGCCATAACCTCTAGAGTAGAAGGTTGCCCTTCCATCCCAGTGCATCCAGAGCCTGTCACATTCCTAAGTGCTGGACCTATCCCAGTAGTATCCACTACTGAGGGAGAAAACCCTGCAAAAATGACATTCTGGGCCATAGCTTTTCTATGTCTACCTCCAAAACTCACCTACTCAGCTGATAGCCTTGTTAGCTGTGAAAAAATTAATGTGTGAAAGGAGCCATTATCTGCATGTATGCGCATACCACTATTTTGTCTAAACAGCGACATCTCCTGATACCCAAGCTGCAGTTGTGTTACTGGGTTACTACTCCAATAAAGTTGTTGTTGTTACACACAGTAAATGACCTCCCGAGGGCCACCCTTAACAAGAACCATGTCTGCTCCTGCGTTTCATTCAGTGCCAAGCATGCTGTCAGCACTTAACAGCTATTAATAATAACAGAAGGAATTACAAAGCTTCATGGGATAGAATAAAGCCTGCTTAAAGGCAGTTCTTTGAGGGCTGTCCTACTTTGCTTGTATTCATCTAAACTGGATCTATTTAAGATGACAAAGTTAAAATTACCAATGTAATGTAATTCTGAGTTTGAAGCTTTGCCAGCCATTAACTGCTAAGACTATTTCTATAAACAAAGTGCACTTTCTAAAGGAACATTCACTTCAGCTTTTAATTGTGATTTCCTGGGGGAAACAGTTGTGTTGGTGAAAATTCAAATATGCAGTTTATTCATATGTTAGTTACAATTGTTTATAAAAGCAGCCAAGATTTCTGTTTGGGGCATTTTCTGGCAGCTATTTAATTAAAACTGATTTGAAGCATTCATCATATTCTTCAGCTCCTATAGCTGGCTGGTAAATAACAACAAATACCTGATATGAAGGGAGTTATTTTTCAGATGTATTGGACCAGTCTTGCATAATGGTGGGCAATTAATGCTATTTTAGTTGGTTCCACTTAGGGAACCATGGTTGAATTTATTCCAGTTTTGCAGATAATGTGTGTCTTAGAAGTTTTCACAGAGAGATGAAAAAACATATTCATGTACGAATCATGAAAAGCAGTGTGTAATTTGCCACTTTTGGAAGAAATGGATTTCTCTCAGTTCTCTGTCAGACAAAGAGTCCTCTCATAGTAGGGAGAGGACAGAGAGTTGGATAACATAAAATTATGCTGTTGACGGGCACCAAATTAGGATTAGGTGGTTCTTTGGTAAATGGAAGATGGAAAATTTAACTGCAAGATACAAATTCTGGGATATATTGTCACTCCTTTTAATGGGAACAGCGAAAATAGTTTATGCTCTGATAACGAACAATAACAACAATTTCTGAAAAATACCAATGGACACTTTTTCCTAATATTTCCATTCTTGTTTTTCAGTCTTCAGCAACCTAATACAGACATGGGTTAATAGGTTCAACCAAGATGCGTGCATTTTAGGCATGACCACATGTGATTATCAGCTACATGGACTCATGCAACCCAAGGTGTTCTAAGTGGGCTCATGACATGACTCTGCAATCACACACTGTCTTCTGACATCATTACTTGTACTGTGCATTTCACTTGACTAAAACACATGTCTAGTGCAGCAGAGAAGAATACAAGCAGAGATCCTGTTCTATGTTCAGGATCTTATTATTACCTCTACGCCTTTGAGAGTGAGTTCTTCAGACTAGCCTACTTCTCTTATATTTCCACATTGATTTTCACACACCGTTGAAACAATAGCAAAAATAATAGCCAGAGAAAAGGGTTATAATCAGTTCTGCTTGCTGGACATATAAAAGCACACAATGAATCTGGTAACCATAACATTTTGTTAGTTGTTTTATGGGGTCTAAGGAAAATCTCTGATTTATATTGCTCTGTGGCAGTTTAATGGTGTTGCTCATTATGAAAAATTGAGGGACCTAATGCTCCCAACACTAATACAAGCAACTAAGTGTCAGATAAAATGAGCCTGAATTCATTAAGTTACACCTGCACCAACAATACTTAGGCTGATATTCATTCTGAGCTGACGATATGAGAAGTGAATTATTATCCAGTTAGATCACAAACAAGGCTTTGCTTATGATGGCATGTTTATTCACATTAAGGTTTCACTATTTGTTTGGAAGCAGGGGCATAGTTTTGCAGCTCATTTGGATTTTTTTTTCTAAACAGATGGAGGAGAGGTTGTTTTCTGTGAAAATAACAGGAAGGTAACATAAAATACTCGAATATGTAACATAAAACTAAAACATCTTAGTAATGCTACCCTGTGGGTCACCACCTCCTGGTCCGTATGGCTAAGTAAACACTGAAGATTAACACATTTGTTGCTTGATTTTGATTAACCAGCAATAGTAAGACCAACACACAGAGTACAGGCTGAGAAGGTAGAGGTTTTAAAATAGGCAAGTTTATTTTTTTCCCCCAGCCGTCACTTGGTTTTCCCTTTACTGCCATGTTCAGACTTACTGTCTCTTCTTGACTTTTTCCTGCTTTCTATTAAAAGCAAGGCCAAATCCTAACTGATTTTAACATGGGGCTTGAACAATTTATGAAAGGGCTTGTGCGTTTCCTACCACAGCGGGAGTCGTGCAAATCTTTTCCACTTTGATGCTCCCAGTGCTGCAGTCTCTCATCAATTGCCACATTAGTCCACTTCCCACTGAACAGCCTTACGGAAGGTGATGTTTTAAACAAGTCATTCTACTCTTTGAGTGTGTGTGCTGAGCTCATGTGTATCTGTGTTTGCCCCTGTGGCAGCACAATGCTGTCTGTGGGTGTCCTGATCAGTCCCTGCCCAACCAGCATGGAGGGCACGAGGAGCAAGATCAAAACAACATAGAAGAGTCTAATATAACGCAGAGTGTTGGCAGATTGCAAAACACTTAGGTACCTCTGATTTAAGGGAAAATCTGGGGAAGTGGGATATATAAGCCTTATTTGAACAAATACAGTAAAAATAATACTTATCTTGCCTTAAGGTTTTATCAGGATTAGTAAAACTAGTGTTGTTGATGGATTATAGATGTAAAAATTTGTAGTTATGTGACTCTCTATTTACAATAATTTGTCTTTTTCTGTCCATTTTCATGGAAGATTTCTCAGGGAGCTGCTGTTTTGTGGCAAAAAAAAAAATCCTATAGCACCTCTACAGTTTTAAAGAGATTAATTTTTTCTGAAGTTTATTTTTCTCCTCCCTTTTGGGGGTATGAGCAGAGTGAAGCCGACTATTTTATCTAATGAATGTGTTTTTTGAAAAAGATAATGAACAGTTACCATGATGCATGTGCTGTAGTAACTGCTGTTGTTCTCCATACCAATGCAGAAGGTAGCGCCAAATGTTGAAAAACAAAGGATGACAAAGAAAAACAGCAAAGAGGTGCAAATCACAGCCTTCTTAAGCTGCCAGCTTTTGCCAGGCCTCTGTGTAGGCAAAGCTGTGTCAGCTGACCACAGGGATGTGTGGCAGGTGTTGGGGGACACAAGGCAATGTGACAAGTCAATGCTGCCTTGAATGCTAGTGTTGACTGTTTCTGCCTGGGTTTGGGTTGTAGAGCAGTAGAAAAACAAGGATACCCCAAGCAGTGTTAACATGGAAGCTACCACCAGTTCCACGGCTAGAAGTTTAAAATGCACACCTCTTTGTTTTGGTGTTGGTCCTTTTGTTTTTGGTTGATTGGTTGATTTTTGTTTGGTTTGGTGGAGGTTTGTTTGTTTGTTTGTATTTCGGGCTGCTATTGTGTTTTTGTTTTTGTTTGTGTTTTGTTTTTGTTTTTGTTTTTTAGTCATGGACTCAGACTGCAATTATTGTTCAATATTTCCTTAGATATGTCTTCTAGCTGACAGAGCCTGAAGCTTTACCTTAGAGCTAAGCTCTTGATAAGACCTACCGAACTGTAAGTAAAGAGGATGCTGCAGCTATGCAAAACATGAAATTATCAGGTCATCTGCCCCGAGTTGTTAAAGAGCATGCCCTCTTCCCCAAGAAAAAAGAACAGCATCTTAGACTAATGATTCAACTCCAAAAATAAATAAATAAAATCTGACATGATATAACCCAAACAAGAGAACAACAATTTCATCATAGGGTTTTATAAAAGAAGTACAGCAACTACTCTGCTTCAGCATGTCCCATGGTGTTTGCTAAGCAGCATGTGTAGATGCAATCAATTGCTCATTAGACATGCCACACATGACACAGATACAAACAATCATGGTGTTACTGATTTACCCTTGACCCTGTGCTATTATCACATATGGGGAGAGGTGCAAGATCACAATAGCTGGGGAGCCATTTTTTCTGTTCCTTATAGAAAAACTTCTCCATTGCTTTGCAAATATTGCTCAGGAGGACACAAACCTGCTACATCTCAAGATTAGACTACATGTACCTTTGGAAGGTGTCGACACTGTACACTGAGACCTTGCAAAGTAACCTCCATCAGTACTGGTAAAGGCTGTTCCATGAGACCACTGGTGTCAGGAAGCTGAGCCAAGCCTCTCGGGTAGGTCTGAATGGGTCTGCTCTACCACATGCAACTTCTGCACCTGCTGCAAGTCACCCCATGTCTATAAGGCAACCAGTGCCTCTAAATAAGGAACTTTTGAAGAGACTCTCCCTGCAGTCCCCACGTGCCATATGAGGCTTTGCACAGTAATTTCTATTGGATGAAGCTGGACCAGAAAATACACCATAGGAGAACAGTATGTGTACTTCAACTACTAATCAGCTTCCGGTCCACATGACTAGGTCTGATATAAACCTCTCCAACGTGAAGTGAATGTGGACACAGGGTTTTCTGCACCTGCTGTTTCCTTTTCAGACCCACTCCTGCTGAGCCGCACTGCAGAACCCACTTGGCTGTGCTGTACGCTTCTCTGACAGACACACTGATTCACACCGACGATGGAGTGGCAAAAGCGACGTTCAGCACATCCTGTTGATGTCTATTCATCCTGACAGCTAAAGTGGAGCCAATAACGATACTTGCAGCAGGCACAGATTATGGTAGGTGCTGCATATAAACAGCATGCCCTAGTTCTTCACGAATGACCCTTGGACTCTCTTCTGTTCCTTCATGCAGAGAGAAGCCTGTCCCATTAGGTCACAGGGGTGAGGAGGAGGAGGGCGGGGGTGCATGTGAGTGCACTGTGCGGCGTCTCCCCCCAGGTCGAAGTCTTTCCAGATGTCCACTCCTGCTGTGGCAGCCGGGATACCCTGTTCTTTGGTGGTTTCCCTGGGTCTTTCACCACAGGTATTTCTTCCGTAATCAGGCCAACTCGGCTGTAAGGGAGCGCAGGGCACTTCTCAACATCTTTAGTATTCGCAGCAAAGGAGAAAAGCTTCGGCTCCGCGGGCTCAAACACCAGGTGCCATACAGCGCAGCAGGCGGTCAGACAGCAGCGGCCGGGCACCCCGTGGGTCAGTGGGGGGACACGCCGGCCTCTCCCGCCACGCCGGCCTCTCCCCCCCACGCCGGCCTCTCCCCCACGCCGGCCTCTCCCCCCACGCCGGTCTCTCTCCCCCCACGCCGGCCTCTCCCCCACGCCGGCCTCTCCCCCACGCCGGCCTCTCCCGCCACGCCGGCCTCTCCCCACGCCGGCCTCTCCCCCACGCCGGTCTCTCCCCCACGCCGGCCTCTCCCCACCACGCCGGCCTCTCCCCCCCACGCCGGCCTCTCCCCCCCACGCCGGCCTCTCCCCGCCACGCCGCAGCCGCTCCGCAGGGCGGGACCTGCGGCGCCCTCTGGCGGTGCCGGTGCGGCGGGACGGGCGCTGAGGGGCGGGGCGGGGGCGCTGCCGGGCCCGGCGGGGCTGAGGGGGGGAGCCCCTGGGAGCAGGGCCCCGCGGAGGTTGTTTTGTTTTGTTTCGAGACCTAGATTTCCTAAAAATCCCAATTCAGTTTAAAAATAGCTCTTCGGAGGATTTCAGCACCCCCGAATGCTCAGGCTCTGCGCTGGGATACGCGCCTGCAGGGCCATCGCTCGGCACGGGAGCATCGATGTCAGGAGCGGGTACCGCTGGTGGGATTCGGCTGCTGAGAGAAAAGCGCTGCTGGAGCAAAGCAAACCGAACCGTGCCTTGTGTACTCCCTTACTGCCTCGCAGACACGGCAGCGCCGGTGTTGAAAATCAGACTTCGGATTTAGATTTATCTGAGAAGAAATTCGCACCCTGTAGCTCTATTTAGCATGTGGCATTTAGTGTCTGGAAACAGGTCCTTGATCTTAGAGCAGCACTGTGCGAAGTTTTTACTCCAATGAACAGGTCATGCTCAGCTTCATATCAATAGACATGTCTCGACTGATTTCATATGTTAACCAGCTTATGACCAAAATCTATAGAGTCATATTAGGAAAAAATCTCAACCACCCATGCAGGGTTACACAGTTGAAAACTCACATACAACATTCTGTCACTATAACTAGAATGCAAGGTGCCTTTAACTGTAAAACCCCCAACACTCTGCAGGTCTGCAGTAGCATGACGAGCAATGTGGGACAAGGTAATTTTGCTTGAAGAGGACCAGTTTAAATGAAAACTAGATTGAGCAAAATTTGAAATACAATCTTCCAGGTGCTCTGTGTAGCTACATTACTATAATCTAGAAGGGGTGTGACAGTTCACCTCGGTTGAAGACTTTCCCTAACAGGTTTATTCTTTCACTCGTTATAGAGCAGAAGGAATTCCTATTGCTGAGAGGAGATTCCTGTGATGGTTATATCGCAGTAAAATAAACTGAAAACAAAACAGTATGCCCCCTGAGAAAAAACACCCCCCCCCCCCCAAAAATAAACCTCCAAGCAAACAAAAAAACCATCCTAGAGATAAAAAAATTGTTTAAAAAAAGGATGAAAGGAGAAGGTAGGAGGAGGAGGAAGAAAAAAAGCCTTCATAGAATTTTTCTCTGTTCTTAAAAACAATAACTAGCAATCAGTACAGCAAGGAAATGTCATCAGACTGGAGCTTCTCATACCTGTTCAGCATTAAAACACTCCCACAGAATTCAGGCAGAATTCATCATCTGATGGGTCAAGATAATTTTAATATGTAGCTATTTAAATTCAGTGTTCAGTCTTCTCTTTAAAAAGAAACCGAGGGCTCTTTCAACAAATTTAGAGTCTACAGAAATAAACTTTAAAATAAATATGAAGTCCATAGTGCAACCTTCTAGGTTTTTTAATTTACTCTGACAGTATAATTTGATGTAAGAATTTACACGGAGGTGAACTCATCCTCCCTCCACAGCAGAAAACTGCCATATATATGGGGGGGCAGAGCAGCAGGAGAAGTCTGTGGTTTCTGATAGAAGGAATGTTCCTGTTGTGGGGGAGGGTGACCGAGTAGAAATTTTGACCCTAGTCCTGCAATTGGATCCATCAAGCCTGACCTCTGTGCTATAGCAGTGCTTGCTGGAGTCAGCAGAACTACGTGCTAAGTGCAGGGATCTGTCCATGTGGAACTAACTGGGGATTTGGGACCTTCCAGTTTCCTGCTGTGGAGGGAGGATGAGTTCACCTCCGTGTAAATTCTGGAAGAGGAGCAAGAGACTTCCATAAAAGAAACTTGCATTTATTTTTAGATCTTCTGTTCTCTCACTCAATCCCATAGAGATCATACTGAAAACAGCATGCCTCCCTTTCTCCAACCACACGTGCCTACCTGCTAACTCCATCCATCACTGCTGAAAACCAGCATGCCCCGTATTTCTCTAGTGAGAAAAACCCCGCACATAGTTCGTAGTCACTGTTCAGTAGCTGCTGCTTCAGTTGTTAATCCAGCTTTGAGTCAGTTTACATATTGTGACCCAAATATGACCTCTGTTAGTGTCTTGTCCACCACTGTGGAGTGCAGTGGTTGGCTTGTGTCTCTCCAAAAATGCTTTATTTCTTGGCAAGCTCTAAGTATACAGGACAAGGAGGTTGGTGTGCACTTGCAGCTTCATGCAAATGGGCAATATTCTGAATGCACCTTTCCATCCAGAGCCTAGGGAGGCTGCATGACTTCCAGCAGTCAGATACATCCGTTTGGTGTGCAACTGTCTGTGCTCAAGCGCCAAGCTTTTCCAGCCCTCAGGAATGAGATCAATGACAGATAGATGAAATCTGGCCAGAGCTGAGACAGCTGTGTTGACAAGTAAGAGAAAGTTGATGCATCCCATAATCCCTACAGACTGAGTTGTGTGCTCTACCACAGAGCGAGGGTGCAGCACGCAAAAGCTGTGATTGTCAGTCCTTGACAGTGGCAGGACCACACACCCCTGCCAAGGCTTCAGAAAGGTGCCGTTTTCTGTAGACACATTAACCTACTAGTTATTATTTAGACTCCTCGTGGGAGACAGTGCTTTGCATCCCAGCAGGTGGGGAAGGGAACTGAATTTGACACAGGCAAGATCTCTTAGAGATCTGTGTAAAGCGGGCAGAGGTCACTATTTGTGTTTTCTCTGTTCTAAGATGCTCTGGTTCAAGCAGAGTGCTCCAAAAATGCCTACAGGACTGAGTTGTGCAGATAAACCAAACAGAGGGAGCCTAATCTGTAGACTGGACTTATTAATGAGTAAGCTAGCCTAAAGAATCCAACAGAATTAAGATATAATATGCACTTTCATGGATCAGACTTGAGCACTTCTGCAGTTTCCCAAGCAATCAAGAGTAAAAATATACCAAGAATAAATCAAATGTTTTCCAGTGATGCTGAATATCCAGGAGCAATCATGACCTTCCACAAACATCTTACAGTTCACACTGCTTTCAGCACGTCTAAAAATCAAGTTTCTTACTAGGGAGTCCTAATATGGATTTAGATCCTTGAGTTTAATAGCCTTGCTATTAAATAATTAATAGCTCTGTTATTAAACTGCATCACAAAGGGCTAATGAATTTTGACAGAGAAAAAGAAGGGATTGGACAAATATCTTCAGTGATACTGAACTGCGTAGCAGTACCAAGATCTTGCTCACACTTGCTTATCACACAAGTGCTTAAAGAAAAGATTTTCTGGGATTCATGTTGGTGTTTCTTAGAATTGTCATCTGTTGTCCATGGTGATTTTACGAAGACAGTGGGTATATTTCTTCATAAGGTGGAGGTAACAAGTTATTACAGTCTTCCCCCAGTTCTTCTGGCTCATCAGAACTGTCCTCTGACCTGAAAAGAGGAAGAGGAGCAGATGCAAAAAGAATTTACCAAACACAAAGCATACAAGCAACCTCAGTGCTTCATCCTGATTGCCTTATCTGGGTGAAGTACTTCCCGGCTTCTTGAGAAAATGCTATGAGATGAAGTTTTACTGAGATTCTGCTGTTTGCTCTGTTCTTTTTGTGAAGTATAAATGTGCCAGGAGATGACCTTTGTCTTCATCCTGCCTGTGCCTGTCACCTATGTTGCTGAGGACAATGAGGCAGTCAGCAGTTTTTCAAACAGGCTTTGATAAAATAACCGTGACTTGTGTTCCAGGAAGGATATAATTCTGAGTAATTCCTCTAATTAGTATATTTTTCCTTACATGAAAGAACTGTATATATAACTGTATATATAACTTTATATATAAAATTATTTTGTGTACAATTTAAGAAGTTTCATACTGATGTGCAATATCAGTGATCTGGTTTATGCCTCAAATCTAGTAAAAGAGTTGGAAGGTTCTACAGCAGGAGAGGAGCATGTTGTGACCAGGCATATTCAGGAGGGAGAGCATGTGGTACCAAACTGATTATTGCATTGTTGCAGAAATGCTCTTTGTGTGCTGACTCACGTGTTTGATTATGTTTGAGTGAAAGCCTCTGGCTGTACACACAATAACCAGAAGGTGGTAAGATAAGCATTAAAAAACCTGCACAGAGAGGTGCATATATGCTAGTATCTTCAAAAATAACAAGAGATTTATTAGAAAATTGAAAGGCATTTATAAGTGAATTTAAATTAGTTAAAATACTTTCAGGAAAGGATGCCTGCTTACTCTTTACTTGGGAAGAATTCCTAACAAAGACAAAAAAAAGTCTGAGGAAGGAAAATACCCTGGACTAGCTGTTGTTTCCTATGAAATCACACGTAGTACTTAAAATACTCAGAAGCCTGTGTCTAAAAATGCTAAGGCATTTCAGAAGCTGTACCTGTGATTCCTGGTATTCTCTGCAGGATAAGTGGTGTAGCTCTCATCTCCAGTAAAAGCCAGGTTATCCAGAGGGTAAGCAGGGCAGAAGTGAGGAGAGCCTGGGGTGGGAATCGGAGAAGCACTGGAGGAAACAGCACTGCAGCAGCTGAGCACTGGGTGAAGGTAGCTGGGAGTCACAGGAATGCCTTCCTGGGATGGGTATGGTGGAGGGATGTACTGTACCACTGTGGCACCATGAAAAGTTATAGGCTGGTTAATGCCGGTGAAGACAAAGGACTGCCCGCTTGCAGTCTGGTCGAGTTCTGATGTATTTTCCTCTCTTTCTTTACAGGGCTTGCATGTAAGCATGTTAAATTTACAAACAGCAATCAGAATAAAAGTCACCCCGACAGAAAGCAGAATAGGCCCCAGTAACTGAGTCCATTCCAGGTGAGTAATGCCATCGTATTTTATCCATCCCATCACGGTGAAAGTGATCCCCACCAGCCCCAAAAACACACCTGAAAAGAGCAGAGTAGTGCCAGCTTTATCCCCATCTGACACTAGCGCATCAGATCTATTTGGCTGACAAGGAGTGACAGAAAAGACATTCAAGGAAAAATCTTCTACATTGTTGTTGTTTTGCTCCATTACTGAGTATAACGTATCTTCTGCCTCAAGAGAAAGGGGGCTTGTAAGGGACTTAGCAGAGCATTTAAAGTCGAAGGTTCAGGTTAGTTATACAAGAACTTTGTGTGTGTATGGTTAACAGAGTCCATCATGTGAAAGAATAAACTTTGCTTAGGAGAATAAAGGTCTGGGAAGTGAAGCCTGAAGCCATTGCTAAATATTTCTTGAATTACCACCATCACTTCCGAAATGGTTTCACCCTTGAACGGCTGCTTATCTCTTTGTTTATCCTCTTCTTTAATTTAGCACCTGTGATACTTACTGTGTCCACACTGGATGGGAGAAAAGGGAAGCTGGAACTATTGCAGTTTTTCCTAGGCCCCAGCTAGTTGATGCATCCAACATATGGACAGCATCTGTTTAGTCAACAGCAGTGTGAAAATTCTGGCTCTCCATTTCCAGCTCCATTTTCTGCAGGAGAATGCATGGCCACTGCCAGGAATGCTTTGCTGTGCTCTGAAGCATGACATTTATAGCTGTGCCTGGACCTCTCTTGCAGCTGGTTCTGCAGTCCAGAGCTTCCATGGTTTTAAAAAATATCAAAGTAAGCTTTCTGATATTTTGCTGGGGCAACCACTGGGTGGGTGGGAGAGTAAGCAGTAACAGGTCAGTGAGCGCTGAAAAACCTGGAAGAGCTGCTGGTTATGGGAGAAATGTTACTTTAAGCCAACCAAAGCTTTCCAGCTGCTTAAAGTTAGCATAATTGCCCTGTAATTTCCCCTTAATTGTGGACGTTTTTTGTTGTGGGATCTCCATCCCTTCCTCAGATTTTATACAGAGTAATGCCTATCACTGCAAGAATAGGAAAGCATCTCCTGTAATGCTAAATCTGGTAGAGCAAGGGATCTTATCCTGTACTCAGAAGTACCTAGAATACTTTTTCACATCACAATGAATTGTTCTGCTGAATTTATGTCCCATATATTAAGCAGGAAGATTAACTGAATTTTGTGATTTTTTGTTTCCTAAGAGTTTCAGAACAAAGTAATTGTTCTTGGAGGGTTATGGTAGAATGTCTTTGTATAATTCCTTAAGGAAGAAAATCTCCAACAACTTGATCTGTTTGACTAGCATGGCACATGACTATACACAGGACATTGGTTACTACTCAGAGAGTATAACCCATAATGCTATTTCCTGCTAGCAGGAGCTCTGGGGAAGCAAGCTTATCCTGAGATTTTTAAGGTAAAAATAGCCCTAGAACTAGAAAACTGACCTTTCAGACTGCTTCTTCGAAGTCAGTTATGGTGCCTTTAGTCTAGTGTGCATTCTTATCACAGAGTGTCACAACAGCTCTCTTCTGAAAGGGGCTGCCCACCAAATTTGGCATCTTCAGAACTGATGCTGAATGCAATTAAGATATGTCTTTCTCATTTGATAACAGATAGACCTTGTGTGGTCTGGATTAGGTCTAACACCTATTACTGCTGGATTCCTTTAAAAAAACATCTGTGAAGTTTCTAAAGTCAGTATTATGTCTCTTCCATCATCCATGGTGCCAGCAAATTTTTTGACAAATACACTCAAGATCAGCCTTTCCCACAGCACCAAGTCTAGTCAGGATTCCCTGCACCTCTTATGGTGCAAAGAGTTCAGGCTTGCAGTGCAGTGGTTTCATATGATAACTAAATTAGAAAGTGCTGAAATACTAGACAATCTGTCCTTGTATTGGTAATTGTAGCCAAAATTTAAGTAATCTTTAACTTTATGTTTGTTAAACTTAATGGAATGAACTTCTATTACTGCTCTTTGAAAATCAGGTTTTTCCAGACCATGAATCATTCTTACCACTGCTGTATCTTCCAGATTTTCCAACATCCTTTTAAAAGCAGCACTGTATTATAATGGCTCTCTTACTAATAGAACATACAGATGTATTGTCACCTTTCTCCTCTCATTCATTCAAGAACTCTGCAACTGCTATTTGCAATGGATTGTGCTGAAGAACATCCTCAATCCTATGCAGTGGTCCTTAGATTCTGTTTGGAATCAGAATTTTCCAGGTTGGGTGTTGTGTCATCCCATGGCTGTCTCTTTGCCTCTGGTCTAGGACATGACTTCATGATTGTTGAGCAAGTGCACAGTAGAGCTGGAGAATATAGGTTTCTTTTTTATTTCTTTCCCAGGCTACTTGCCACTGGAACTTTGAAAATAGGATGGAAAACACTTCCCATTTGGTGCAGTAGAATCCATCCCGAGATTGGCTCAGCTGCTTAGAGCATGGTGTTAATAACACCAAGGTTGTGCATTTGATTCCTGTATGGGCCATTCAGTTAAAAACTGGACTCAATAATCCTTGTGGGTCCCTTCCAATTCAGAATATTCTGTGAAATTTCTGTGAAACTTACATTAAAATTACTTTCTCTGTAAACTGCCCTCTCTTTGTAAGATATAGTTTCCTCTAAGACTCCCCACATTTCTCCAATTATTTCCCCAGACAGTGCTAATGCTGCATTCAGGCAGCTGTCAAGGTCTTAAGAGATTATTGGATCACATAGGTTTTTTTAAGGCCAGTACTTTTCTTTGCCAATAAGCATGTGTTCTGGGAATTCACTTAAAGATGCTGATTTACTAAATGCATCTCTTTTTACTTTGAATAACTCCTAAACAAAACAGTTTTGCAAAACCTAAGAAATTGGTCAGAGTGAGGTTTTTCAGAATAAGTGCTGTTTTCAGATCTCACTACAGTTTTGTTCTCATCTGCTTCAGACCTTACCCCTCAGCACATGCACTGCTTTGCCTTCTGTTCTTCTACATCATTTTCTTTCACCAATGCAGACTTCTCCTGCAGCGCTTGCTGCTGGAAGCAGGTGCTCTGCATGTCCTCAGTTCTCTAACTTATTTCAAGAGCCATCCTAGTAAACACAGGCTCTCACTTAACCCTTTTCTTCTCTCCTTCTGTTACTTATTTTTACAGTTGTATATGTTATCAGCCTGTTGTAGTAAGGTTTTATTTTCTCATACTCCTGTAATGTAGGCAGGGACTTAGTCAAAGAACATGCAAATGGAAACCACATAACGTGGTATTGCACACTGATTGGCTTAAAAATGAGTAGGTACAAATTATCACTCCATAATGAAACATTCAGTTGTAGGGAGATTAAAGAGCCAATGACTTGACTTAGCGAGACTTTTTCCTGAGGAAAGGCAACTGCACATGGCATCTTTAGTGGAAAATACAAATAATACGTGTAAGGGCAGTATATGAAAAACCACCACAAGTGGGCCTTGCACTCCAGGGCTTTGAACTACTGCTCTGCCAGCACCAAAGCAAAACCAAATTGAGAGTAGCAGGTTTAGCCAGCTACCCACAACTATGTTTACCTGCAAGGTGGTTTTATATGCTCCAGGGAAATCTTGTTGGCAGGCACACCAAACTGAAAGTATTTTCATACTTACAATTTAGATATATGCATGTATGATAGAGGGAGAAGCACTGATCTAGATGAAGTCTGGCACATTCACTGTGGAACTGTGGAGGGACTGGACCTAGAAGCCATGACTCTGAAGAGATAGGATGGAAAAGGGATAAATGGATACAGCAACACAAAGGGCAAGGGTGGGGAGGTGCAATCCAGCGTCATTATCCTAAAAACATAGCAATGTTGCAAAGATCTGTGCAACTTTAGTTTTTCAGATGAGTTAACTGTTCATTTTTTCAGTTGCTGGTGATTTAGGAAGAAAGACTCCTAGAGAAAAGGAATTCATTATATTTTTGTGAATCCTTCTCACATTCAAAGAATTGCAGTGCTGCAGTTAGAAGTGGAGCAATCTCAGTGCTGGCAGCAAAAGAGATCTTAACTTCACTTAGAAAGGATAAGCAACCCTTACCTCCCACTTTGCCTGTTTAAGTAAGTGTGAATCAGTAACCAACTTGATTTGCTCGCTAACATTTGTATGTCAAGCACTTTAGCTAACCTAAGGACAGAAAGAGGGTTATAGCACCATTAGTGTGACAGTAAAGTATCTCATTTCCGCAATAAAAAAGCTATTCCATATTATTTTAAACTACTTTTATAATTTTACAAGGAGTTGCTTCCTTTCTAATACAGACATTTCACTCCTACTTGCCACATCAAAAATTCCTCCCTCTAATGCTGTTCACCCAGTGGTAGCCTAGAGCGCTGAAGACAGATCTGCTTAGCCCCTTACTCAAATTTTCCGACCTTCCTGCAAGATTTCAACAACATGGTAGGCAAATACTGTTGCATTGGCAGTGTTAACTCCCTCAGTGCTGAGCAGTTTATGGAGATGCACCCAGCACATGCACTGAGTGTTCAAGTAATGATTCTTCAAGTCAAATGTAGAAGACGCTTATACAGCTACACACTGAAGTATCTCATAAGCATCTTCTCTAAATCATACAGAAGGAAATTCTGTTTTCAATCCTTGTTCTCAGAGGTAACACCTAGACTTCACAGGAAACTCAGGTCAGCAGCTTTCTAAACTGTGGTTTCTGTGAAGATGGCTTTTTTAGAAGTAAAGGGATCTACACTGAAGACTCTGCAGTAGATGATCAAAACACAATAACCTTGAAGAAAAACAAGAAGATAATGTTGTTCCTATAGAGGACTCAGCTGAGTCAACATATGCTACTTGATTTGTGTGGTCTCTTGGGTACATTTTGAGAACAACTGACTCAGCAGGTTGCAGGCAGCAAAAAAGGTTAATACTTTTTCAGATGCGACTGTATTTTTTTTTTTTTAAATGGTGACATATTTTAAGATTTGTTTAAACACTTTTTTGATGTCAAGCCTTTTCAGAAAATATGTGTTCCAGACAAAAGCATAGAGCCAACGGGGGTCTTGGTTGCATGGTATCTTTCAGGTAAAATATCCCAGCTTCTGTCCTTGTTATGGAATAGCATGAGAAATCTGGAGAGAAACAGGCTCCTTCAACATGTGCAAGGCTTTGTAGGCACACATCATGCACAGCAGTGGCCATCACTGTTAAAACAGGTCAAACAAAAGCTAAAAAAAGAATAATCAAAAGGATGGAAACCATAGCTTGTACTGCAGATGGCACACAAGGAGCAGCATCCTTGAAAAACTCACTAGGTAAAAAACATTTGAGAGAAAAGAGGATAATATGCCTACTGGCTTTTGTGGATTCCCTTTCTTCATGCAGACATTTCCCATGGCTGAGTCATGCCAGTTTAATCAGTTCCCACATACAAAATCCCTCTTTGTGTTGTGTTTGCTCATTACTTTGCGTGCATAAGCCCCTCAGCTCTATTGCTGGCTAAATATACCTCTTGCTGGCTGGTTTGTTTTTGTGTGGCTGTGCAAAAAGCTGCTCTAGCATGACTGAGGGAACACCACAGAATTGGAAATGGCAAATGCAGGAGCTCCTGAACATCTCTCTAAAGCACTCAGCAGGCGAGAGGCATGTTCATAGGAGGATGAGACAAGCTAACCGCCTTTCCCTAGGCACAGGAGAGAATTTGAATGCTTAATTCATAGTCTGGTATTCTGTTACAGCCAGATTCAGCAAGGTAGAATACAAGCTGAGGTGCAGGTGAGGTCCCAAAGCACGCACATGTTCAGAGACTCAGCTGAACAATACAGAGATCACTGTTGCAAGATGTTTTAATGGTGGTAAGTTCACCATGCTGAACCAAGACCAAATATTAGCTTTGCCACTTCTTTTTCTGGGCACAGAATCATGTCTGTTTTTCTCAAACAGTAAAGTGTCAAACATTACCTACCAGAAGCAAATCCTTCTGTTCAGGAAGAGGTGCAAACAATCACACAACAGAACTAGAACAGTGGGATGGAGGACCTAAGAGGGTTGTATTTCCAAAGGGTCTGTCAAGTGCTGTGTCGGTTAAAAACATTCGTTGCATCTGTTTCCATGAAACTGCCTCTCCTGCATATACTGATAAGTAATGTCTGCACCTCAAAGATACTACTGCTCTGAGGCACTCCATTTCACAGAACAAGCACTCCTTGTATAAACCGTGAATGATGATGTAAAACTGCAGTATAATCCCCCTGAAATCAGTCACTACTACAGTTAAACTGTTAGCCTATTAACTATCCTCAGGGTTGCCTTAGGGCTCTTAACTGTAGCTAAAACTGATTTTCATAGGGATTATACTTACATAAGGACCAGAGACAGTCTAAATAAAGCTATGGAGTGTTTGTTACCAGGCAGAACAAAATGTAAGCATTTAAGTTTTTCACAGCGTTATCTGGTACCGAGCTTAAACATCCTTATTTGTGAATGGTCTCAGAATACTTACGAAGTCGGTAACTTTGCAGACCACTATTTTCCACAAAAGTCATGCAAAAATAGAAATGAAAACACTTCCTAATTATTTCTCTTTTTTTGAAGCTCCAAACAGATTTAATTAAAATAATCAAAAAAGCTGGTCTCTACGTAATGCTTTCATTATAAAAAGAACAATTAAAATTAGAAACTGAAGCTGTAACAGAACAAGATGAGCATTTAACATTCCTGCAGTGAACTCCCTTCAGACTAATTCAGCAGAAGCCCAGCATTATCTATTATTTCTTGAAAGCCAAATTCATTGTTCTTCCTGATGAAAAATTAGACACAGTCAACATTATTGCTTTTATTACAAAATGTAAATAAATTCAAAAATTGTAAATCTCTGTGTACAATTTAATTTAAAAATTAAGTCAACTGACAGTCTTCTATGAGCTGATGTCAGATGTGGCTAAGGAAACAGATGAAAAAGATGAGGAAGAAGATGGTGAATATTCATTATTTGTTATTGATGCTTTTTCTTCATATTTTGGAGGTGATTCAGAGCAGAGGTATAGCATTGGTAAAATATCTGAAGGTGAGCTGCTTCCAGAAATTGTACATATGGTTTCATAGTCTCTAACAGCAACCATTCTTTCATCATCTGCAAGCTGTGCTCTATAAAACACAAAACTGTGTATTAGCATAATTCATTTATCTACAGTGAGTGAAATTCCACTTGACTTACACAAACATGTATGCACACACTTCCTAAAAATACCTGAAGCAAAGAACTTGCACAAGCATTAGGAGTTCATTCTGTGGGCTACATCATGACTCATATGAAAATTCTATTATTTCAGAGGGGAAGGGCAAAAGAAGCTCCCTTCTAACCTCTCAAATCACCAGTCACAGCCTGGCTTATGGGTATTAGCTTCTTTTGGCAGTGCTATCTCACAATCTTACTAAATCTTCTCCTGATCCTTAGCTCCTAATGTATCTTCCCTTTTGTAGTATATCACATACACACTGTCCCTTTCCCTTACGAATGACAGCTACTAGACTTAAAACTGCATCACAAAAATCACAATCCTTAGCCATTTCAGATCTCGCATGAAAGGCCATCTGAAACTTTTACTAGGCATTCCAGCAATCCATGATGGACATAAGGAGTCACATTCCTGCTCTGAGCTGGAGAAACAGAAGCAACTCGAGGTGACCAGATCACAACATACCCAGCAACATTCAACACGTGCAGCCATTCACTGCCCTTTTCTGACCATCACAACTAAATCCAAGCTAGTTGAACCCACAGTGTTCTGATATACCCTGCTCATCTTGCCCTCAGCACATTGCTTCAGCTGCTGTCCAAGGAAAGAGAAGAACTCCTCTCTCCGCATGACTCGCTCCCAGAGCTGACCCTTGCCTTTGTGCATACATCTGTACCAATACTGAGTGAGGAGCAGGAACACAGAGCATAGTCACCTCATCTTCAGTGCTGTGACTGATCGGCAAGCGTGTGTGTTTGACAGAGAGATATTAAAAGACAAATGCTGAGGTGCTATGTAACAGCTTGCAGGAATAAAAAAAAATAATATTCTGGGATCAGACCATGACTCAGCTTACTACAAGCCTTCTCTTCCCGCACAACCTTCACCACAGCACTTGCTGACAGAACACCGAGCAGTGGACTGAAGAGACAAATCACCTTTGCCTAATAGCCATCCACATATGAAATATTATTCCCTGCCATTTTTGGGATCTTCAACGATGGTACTATGTTATGGGCAATGAGGCCATTGCTTCTCTTCTACTAAAGTGCTTGGAAGCAATTTGCACTATTCAAGATGCCTTGTCTGCCAGCAAGTGGTGAGCCTTGACAGGGTAGGACTGAGTTAAAAAGCCAGAGGTGGTGTCAACTCAGAGGGTCCCTGTGAGGACACTAGGGAACATGGAAGGGCAACAGTTAGAGCACGTCCAGTCACAGAACACCAAAGCAGGAGGTCAGAGATTCTGGGCTTCTATATCCAAGGTTGAGGTGTTTTATCCACTCCACTAGACACCGTCTCAACAAACTGCCTCTTTGTGTATATATGCTCACAAGTCCAGACAGGCAATCAGCAATGCTGATGGGATCACAAAAAGTTCAGAGCACAAAAACTGAATATTTCTGTGTTGAGACAGTTGATCCAGCTGGAGAGGATTTTGTAGGAGAATTGATGAAGGAAGTAAGGGTTGACTGGTATGTCAGCTCTCTCTGCTGCTCTGTGCACCAGCAGGGAGGGCTCACAAAAAGTCTGAGGAACTAGATTTTTTGCCATTCTCCCACTACACTCTGATCTTTTTCAGTGCAGGATGCACTCTGAGTTCTTTCACACCCTTTGATAATCCCTTTCCAAGCAACACTGCAGAAAAGGACCTGTGGGCCCTGGTCAGCAGTGCCCCGGCAGCCAGGAGGGCCAACTGTGTCCAGGGAAGCATCAAGCAAAGTATCACCAGTCGATTGAGGGAGGAGATTGTCCCACTCTGCTCTGCACTGGGGCGGTCTCACCTTGAATATTGTTTTGGGTACCACAATATAAGAAAAATACTGACCTCTTAGACAGTGTTCAAAAGAAGGCAACAAAGGTGGTGAAGGGCCTTGAGGGGAAACTGTATAAGGAGTGGTTGAGGTCACTTGGTCTGTTCAGCCTGGAGGAGACTGAGGGGAGACCTCATGGCAGTCTGTAACTTCCTTGTAAGGGGAAGAGGAGGGGCAGATATTGATCTCTTCTCTGTGGTGACCAGTGACAGGACAGAGGGAATGGCATGAAGCTGTGTCAGGGGAAGTTTAGGCTGAGTATTAGGAAAAGGTTTTCATCCAGAGGGTGGTTGGGGACTGGAAGAGGCTCACCAGGGAAGCGGTTGCAGCACCAAGCATGTCAGAGTTCAAGAAGCATTTGGACAACACTCTCAGACACATGCTGTCATTTTTGAGGCTGTCCTGTGTGAGGAGCTGGACTCAATGATCCCTTTGGGTCCCTTCCAACTCAGGATATACTATGATGCTATGAATGTTGCACATTTTACCGAGCACATGCCAGGTAGCCCACACCTGAACTCAGAGCCTGAAATTGCAGGATAGAGAGGACTTGTGGCTCTCAGTTTTCTGCACTGTACTTTTTCAGACAGGTGGTACAAAAGTCACTCTACCAGCTGCTTGAAACGCTACAGCAGGGCCACACTCAGGACAAGTAACTTCTTCACACACATCCATTTGCTTTCTACACACATCAGTGTCCATGTCAGAAAGGAGCACATGCTGGAGCTGTAGCACAGACAGGCTCAGTGTGGTGCCTAACTCCAGCAGTAGCAGCAGCTGGTATGAAGCACCATTCAGCTGTAGACACCTTCACCTTGCCCAATAAGAACAGTTATGTCACGTAAATTTTCTTTTTCAGCAGCAGAAGCTTACTGGTTCTCCTGTTGGCTCTGGGTGTCCTTTGATTGCATTAGTGTAACTCCAAGAGCTGATATATTCCATTTGCAACCTGATAACAGGTAAAAACTTCTATACTGAACAAAATAAAAATGTTTCTTCACACAACAATTCATGCTTTGTCATAAGAGCTGCTATCCTCTGCACAGCACTTCTGTTCTATCAATTCTGACATCTTCTCATCCCTACAACTACCCTTGTTATCCTCAGTTGGCAGGTAGGCATGGAGTGATCAACAGCTTCTCTTCAGCATAGTATAAAAAGAACCCTCTCTACGGCAATTTAAGTGGAAAAGCAGAAAACTGAATGAACTGTGTGTACAGTTAGGCCTTAACAGGCATTGCAACCCTCAACACAAGTCATCAGCCTCAAGCTGGACAAACTCAGCCCATGGAAACCAAACACTGGAGTATCTCCCTTCTCTAGGTGGTATGTATATGCTCGTTTTTTTGTTTGGGGACCAGTCCCTCTGTGCAATACAGTGTTACACTAATGGCAAGAAGGAGCAAGTAAGGTTTTTAATGGAAGTGTTTGTTCTATCTTAAAAAAGAAGAAAGTGATTTTGATAAAAGGCAGAAGGATGGTCCGGGTTGTGGCAACAGCAACAGAAGGAAGAATTTGCTGTCTTCAGCATTGATGGGGAGAGTGAGTTTGGAGGAGGGCACTATAAAACAAGACAGTACAATGAGCTTGTTGAGGGTGATTGACTAGAGAACTGAGTCTATCACACAGCAAAGCTGAAACCTCAACAATCCACCAGGTACATTTCAAAGGATTGCTAAAAAAACCAGACATGTCTGCACAAACTGCGGTAACAAGAAAAAGCACCACTGGTAACACAAGCATCCCCTTCCTATGGCATTTAGGTCTTCAAGCAGGGAATGGATTTATGCTTGCTCGCTTCAAAAGGAAGATAGCTCTAGAGTTCTGAAGTACCAATGACATCAGGCACATAGTTGGTATAGCTGGTCATGGAACACACTGCCTCATGTTGAGTAGAAAAATCTGGAGTACAATGGAAAGATCTTAAAACAGCAGTCCATCAGCTACTATGACTGGATACAGCCAGGCAGGCTGGGACTCTTAGAATAACAGAATTGTTAAGGTTGGAAAAGATCTTCAAGACCATCAAGTCCAACTGACAACCTAGCACCATCACCATTAAATCATGTCCTCACTATTAAACCATATCTACAGGATTTTCCAACATTTCCAGGGATGGTGACTCCACAACTTTACTGAGCAGTTTGTTCCAATGTTTTACAAGCCTTTCTGTGAAAAAAAAGTTTCCTAACATACAGCAAAGATAAACCTCCCCTAGCACAACCTTATGTCACCTACTCTTGTCCAGTCACTTGTTACCTGGCAGAGGAGGCTGACCTCCACCTTGTCAAAACCTCCTTTCAGGTAGTTGTGAGAACAGTAAGGTCTCCCTTGAGCCTCTTTTTCTCCAGACTGAAAAACTCCCATTCCCTCAGCTGATCCTCAGAGGATTTGTGCTTCAGACCCTTCATGAGCTTTTACGTCCTTCTCTCATCTCATCATGCTCTAGCACCTCAGTATCCTTCTTAGCATGATGGGCCCAAAACTAAACCATGGAATCACAGAATGGTCTGGATTTGAAAGATCATCTAGTTCCAATCCCACAGCGCCATGGATAGGGATATCTTTCCTTAGACCAGGTTGCTCAGAACTCCATCCAATCTGGCATTAAACACTTCCAGGGATAGGACATTCACAGCTTCTCTGGGCAACCTGTTCCAGTGCTGTACCACCCTCACAGTAAAGATTTTCTTCCTAATATCTAATCTAAACCTACTCCCTTAATTTGAAACCATTCCCCCTTGTCCTGCCACTACATGCTCTTGCAAGAAGTCCCTCTCCATCTTGTAGGCTCCCTTCACATACTGGAAAGCTGCAATTAGGTCACCCTGAAGCTTTCTCTTTTCCAGGCTGAACAACCCCAAATCTCCCAGTGTTTCCTCAAAGGAGAGATACCCCAAACCTCTATAATAAACTTGGTGGCTTTCTCTATACTCGCTCCAACAGGTAGGTTGGTAGGTCCTAGTCCCTGAGCTTGGTGGTAGCAGCATCTAAGCATATCAGCCATACAAAATGTATGCAAACAATGGCTGCATGGGTAAAGCACATCATCTTGAGATGAAGCTGGCTTTGCAACTTCCCTTATCCACTCTCCGGGGGTTCCTGCAATATCAAGGTATCCTTTGATCTGAACACACTGCCAGAATAGGAACAAGGCAGACCAGCACAGTAGGTCTCATTCCCCAAGGCAGTGAGATAAAGGACACAGGAGAATGGAACACACTGGCAAAGTGACTGTGGGTAGATGTCATGAAGGGCTTGCTGCACTGGTTCTACAGAAGTTTCTGAAATATGGCAATGTGGATATCGTGCCGTTGAAGCACTGCTGTCAGAGGCATCTTTACTTGGATAATCTGTGGAAGAAATATACTCTAAGGGCCGCTGATCTACGACTTTGTTTTCACTTCAGACATTCTTTCCAATCACAAGAAACTGGTAAGAATTTAATCTTCAAAAAGGACACTCTGCAGTTTGTAATTCCTCTTGTATACTATGAGGTTTTAATGCCAATTCAAGTCATGTAGCTGAAGTAAGTTGAGTTATGCACTAGAAAACTTTGTCATGGCTAGTAGTTAATTCCCAGGGATTATATAAGATCATGGTCTTGGATAGCTTGAGAAACAGTTTAGATTTCCAAAGACAGAGAAGAACACAGTCTTACCCGTCAGTGAAGATAGACTGGTATGGTGGAGGATTTTCACTTGTAGGCAAAACACTCGACATAAGACAATGTGTCAGAGTTGGTGACATAGGGTCAGCAAAATAAGGAGGTGGTGGGGGTGGGAATACCATTACAGCATCACCTAGAAGAAAAATCACCAATTACTACCTCTGAGAAACTGAGCATCATGGGTTATTTTAACAGTATCCTAGAATTTGTACTTGCCTACCTTTTAAGATAAAGTGCAATGATCCCACATACAGAATTGTTATATTCTAGGCTGTTAGAGCAGGTCAGAGGTACATTCAAAACCAAAACCATTCAAAAATAAAGATGCAGCATATTCATAAATGAAAGATTTAATTTAGAAAACGCAGCTGGGGAGAGGGACTATTCCATCTAGCTAAGAGACACAAACACTGTTGTCTATCTTCAGAAACCCGGAAATGCAAAGCACTCAGTTACTGTTGGCTCATTTTAAGGGTAGGCAAGGATTTAGTTTTCCTCACATGTCTAAAATAGGTCAGTCTAAGTTTCTGCACATCTACTGCAGTGCTATAATGAAAGAATTCAAGTAATTAATGGTTCCGATAACTGATTTTGTGCACCTTGACAGCTTCTCTGCTGAATTACTTGCAGCTCAAAAAACAATAACCATGACCAGGACTACTGATACAGAGTTCACTATTAAGTATACTATGCAGCATATCTGCCAGTTGCAACTTGGGAATTGAAAAGTTTAAAACTTTTTTTTAAAAACAAAGTTTGTATCAGTCAGTCAGCTGGCATGATTTCACATAACCATTCACATCTGCCTGGCATCTTTTCTTCCTTTGTAATTTGTGTGCTGGGACAGCTCAGAGAGCATCAAAATTCTTGATTTGTGAGGTAGGCAGTGTTTTCTAACCAAGTCACCACTGTTTCAGAACAACACTGTAAATAAGACCTCAACCTTCAAACTTTCCATTTTACTTTTCCTGATTGAAGTATAAAAGAAATCCACTAATTTTGCTTTCTTGCCTTAAAAGACAATCCGAATTCCTTCCTACTGCTTTATCCTGGTGGCTGGAAAACTGACTTCAAAGCCTCCTGTTTCCTAAGGTCAACAGGTTACAGGTCTATACACAGGCTTGACATTTCATTACGGATTTCAAGTTCAATCAATCAGATGACAGTCAAGCAATGATTGACTTTTAATTAATCAATGAGTTTATCAGAATAATCAGAACTATCAGAGCAGCCTATGCATGGAATGTATTCACTGGGCATTAAACCAGTGCTACATGCAGAGTATTATTCTCTGCTAACATACCACATTTGCTCAAATACTGTGCAATTAACTGAGGCATCTTGCAATTATATCTCTGAAGGACAGAAGTATGCCCGCAATTTAAAAAAAATACAATACACTGATTAAGAATCAGATTCTTCTGTTTAAGGGGTCAGAACCTCAAGGCTAAAAGAAATCTTAAATACAGTCACAGAATTCATTAGACCTGTGATCTGCAGTGTCAACTACATCCTTTGAGAAAGGAATTGGGATTGGACTCATTTGTGTCATGTTATGTTGCTTCCTTTACACAGTCAGACCTTCTTTTTTATGCCAAAGAAGGGTTTCCCTTTGTGAGAAAGGTAGCTGAACTGACCATACAGAAAACATATGAGACAAAGCAACATTTTTCTGTTTTGACTGGCTTGACATGCCAGATTTGAACTCTAGACATGTCAGTTAAGTAATATTCAGAGAGAAACAATTAGCGAGAAAAAATCCTTACTAACTCTCAAATATAAAGTTCCAATATTTACCCACCTACTGTAACGTGAAAAGATTCAGGGCTCTGAGGATGTTCTTCACTTTCACAAGATTCGTGGCTGAGATTTAAGTTTTGTTTCTTTTTAACATGAGCTATCACGAAGAAACACAACCCAGTGAGCACAATCAAAGGTCCCATGATTTGAAGTGACAGGAATCCACAGCCCTGGAGGTCCACATCAGAACTGCCGGTGTGGTTGAGCTGTATGGTATGCCAGCCAGGGCTGCAACCAGGAACCCAAATTCCCAGGATGCTAATTAGCATTCCACTAGTCAAAAACAGGAATCCAAATATGAGAAACTGGGCAAACTGACAGTTCCCATGGCAAAAGACAAGGCTGTACACTTGCTCATTTTGCAACTGTCTCTGTCTCATATACATCCTGGCCCTTGATCGGGCCAGTAAAACACAAACCAGCCCAGCTACAGCCAGCACTGGCCCAGCAGCCTTAAGGACCTCATTACAGTCACTGAAGGTTCCGGATGGGCATGACTGGAGAATAAAGACTGAAAGCAGGAATCCAGCGCACAGCAACACAGCTCCAAAAACAAAAAGGAAAAAAATAAGTTTCCCATGCTGTTCATTATTTCCGTCACCTCCTGGTGCAGGAACAGCCACTGGATACATTACAACAGAATCTCCTCAAGAGGATGAGTTGTTAGCATTAAATGGCAGCAAACTACAGTAGATCTGTGAACATGAAAATACACAAATCAAAAGAAAAAAACTCAGCAGGACTAGCTACATTATATTTTCTACTTCCAAATTTGCTACACAGCCTTTGCTGCATATTCT